ACTGAATTTGCAAAAGTTCTGCAGCTGATGTTGCTGAACAGGAAGGGTCACCTTTACCCTGAAGTTTGAAAGAGCCCACGCTACCCCCCATCACCATGCAGGCCCTGTCTGTCAGCGTTCTGCTATCTGACGCTTGTGATCAGAACTCCAAGTACTTAAGTTAACTCATTTCCAGCTCAGCCTCCAAACCTCTGTGCTGCACAACAGAGCTGAAAAACACTGGGTCTCCTTTCGCAGCAAGGAAAGACATTTGTTCTTGGGTGGGAAAGTGAGGCCTGCAGCACTGTGTGGACGGCCTGGTCCCGCCCTTTGTTTCTGTGGGAAACATCTTCCATCCACTTCATCATTTGCCTATCACTTCCTGGTTTTAATGTAGTCAAGTATGTTCTTTTTAAAAATGAAGTTCTGTGTTTCTTTTCACTAGACACACTTTTTAAAAACAAGACATGACTTTAAAAAGTTACTATGTAGGTGGGCATGGTTGCTCACACCTGTGATCCTAACCTTTGGGAGTCTGAGGCAGGAGGATCACAGAGAGTTCAGGCAAATCTGGGCTACATACTGAGTTCCAGAATAGTCTGGGCAACTAAGACAAAAACAAAACAAAAACCCAAAGAAACAAATGGTTAATTAAGAGACTAAATAAGCAAATCAATTAATAAACAAATATTATTATTTCCATTCTAAATTATCTCTTGCTAATACTCAGAGATATCCAATGGAATGTGTAGCCACGAAATGTCTGCATTTGTAGGCTGCTTATTGCCCATTTCCTATGCTTCGCTTCACTTTTATAGTCTATGGGAGATGCTAAGATCTGATTTTGCTTACGTTCTGAAGCCCAAGTCAGACATTCATGGGCAACATAGAAGTAATCCATCTCTTAGTTTGCAGCCTTAGCTGTCTAGATTCAGCTAGTGGCTGAGTGTAAGGTAAAATGGCACTCAGAAAACACAAAATAAGATATAATACCTGCCCCCCTCAGAGGCAAGCCCCTCAAGACTCATAGCCAATATGTTCTTACCTGGGGCACAGGTGTAATGCCTTCACAGCCTGGTTGGGGGCACCAAGACAGAATACAGAACACAAGGGGGTCTTCCAATCAGAAGATACGTTGAGAGCCGTAAGAAGGTGTGCATACAGGGAGAAAGGGATTTCCTCCCACCTTCACGTTATCTATCAAACCAACGAAGATAGAAAAGTCCAGTGGCCGCAACGCGCTTCCTGAGCTTGCATGTCAATCAGTTTTGTTTCTCAGAGGGCTGTTCACTTTGGAGGCCAGTGTAAACTGTTACTGCTGGCAAGGCCTTCAAACCGTGTGTCGCTGTCCCATGAAAGTGCAGGAAATGTGTAATAGGCTGAGAAGGGCTCCTATCAAGTGACGGAAGTGAAAGTTTGACAGGTCAGGTAAGTGAGCCGCAGCACTCAAATCCCGACTCTGGAGATGCCTCCAGGTAACAACCATGAGAACAGAAGCAGACACCCTCTGCTCTACTCTGTAACTGGCCCCCTTGCCCTTCCATGAGTAGGGGAGTCCTCATATTATAATGGCAGGTATTGGTGTGTGAGGCTGTTCCTCCAGTCAGAGCTGTGTTCACCCAGCCTCCTTAGTTCTTTCTCAAAGCTTCTACCCATGGCCACCCCACCCCACCTTCTCGTGTCTCTGACTCCATCTCTGTTTATTTCCTCACCGGCCCTTCACTCTACACAACGGTTGGAGGCTCGACTCTCAATCCCACGAATCTAAACATTTTAAAGGCATGCAAACAGGCATGTCCATGTGAGATGCTAGTGACATTTGAAATTTGTTTTGAAATAATCCAGTAAGGATGAGGAAAGAAAGGCAAAAGCAGCCTGTCGGCCTTTAATCCCAGCACTCGGGAGGCAGAGGCAGGCAGATCTCTGAGTTTGAGGCCAGCCTGGTCTACAGAGTGAGTTCTAGGACAGCCAGGGCTACACAGAGAAACCCTGTCTCAAAAACAGAAACAAAACAAAACAAAAAGAAAGAAAGAAAGAAAGAAAGAGAGAAAGAGAGAAATAAAGAAAGAAAGAAAGAAAGAAAGAAAGAAAGAAAGAAAGAAAGAAAGAGAGAAAGAAAGAGAGAAAGACAGACAGACAAAGGCAGATCACTGACAATCACAGAGGCTTAGGCAGTAAGTGTCATGGGACCCACAGTGCATGTTTTCTTTGGGTATGCTAGTGAGTGCTCACTAAACAGGCGATAAAGAAAAACTGACACGCAGCCACTTTATTTAAGGTTTCTTATTCCTACCGGCAACTGTACCTTTGCTTCACCTAATACCACTTAAAATGGTATCCTCAAATACTTCACCAAAAAATAAAAAACCTGTGCATTTTTTTTTCAGGTAACCTGTAACTCTGGCTGACCTGGAACTCTCTGTGTAAACCAGATTGATCTCTGCCTGCCTTCGGCCCCTGAGTGCTGAGATTAGATATGTGTGCCACCACATCTGGCCCTGAGTTCTGAGATTAGATATGTGTGCCACCACATCTGGCCCTGAGTGCTGAGATTAGATATGTGTGCCACCACATCTGGCCCCTGTGAACTTATTTTTTGCAAATCAATCTCACACTGTTTGCCCCCTGCTGCTCAGTGTACGTGATGGTGCAGATTCATCACAGTGGGTTTTGAAATTTCAACATTAAGGCATCAAGGGCAATCCTGTGGATTCAGGACAGAAATCAAGACGAACAGGCCCTTTACCTGTGAAGAACCCAGTCCCAGGCCCCAGTCCCAGGCCCCAGTCCCAGGCCCCAGTCCCAGGCCCCAGGCCTAGTCCCAGGCCCCAGTCCCAGTCCCAGACCCCAGTCCCCCGAGTCCCAGGCACCAGACCCCCGAGTCCCAGGCCCCAGTCCCCCGAGTCCCAGGCCCCAGTCCCCCGAGTCCCAGGCACCAGGCCCCAGGCCCAGTCTCAGGCCCAGGCCCCAGGCCCCAGGCCCTGAGTTCAGCTCTTGAGTCAGGATGTCAGGGAAGAGAGAGACAGAGGCTGGGCCTACAAAAACTCTGCACATGTGTGGATAGGATTCTATAGGAACCTGGATCTCTCTGATGAGAACTTACATCCCTTCTCTTCTGTTTCCTCCTCCCTCCCTTTCCTCCCTCCCTCCCTCCATCTCCCCTCTCCCTTCTCTCTCTTCTTCCTTCCTCCTCCTCCTCCTCCTCCTCCTCCTCTTCTTCTTTTGGTTTTTCAAGACAGGGTTTCTCTGTGTAGTCCTGGCTGTCCTGGATCTCACTTGGTAGCCCAGGCTGGCCTTGAACTCACAGAGATCCGCCTGGCTCTGCCTCCCGAGTGCTGGGATTAAAGGCGTGCGCCACCACTGCCCAGCTCTTCCTTTCTTCTTTAAGCCTCCACTATCGTACTATAAAATCCTGTAATACGCAGAGATGAGAACCACAGAGAATTGCAAAGATTAAGATCCAGCAAGTTCTTAGACAACTTTGTAGAGACTCGAAGCAGAGACAGTAATTGGCTGGACTGTTTAGTTATGTATGTCTCTTGTTTCTTATATACCCTCATGTCTGGACCCTGAAATCGGACTTGGAGGTGGGGGGTATTGTATCTCTTTGTTCCTCTTTCCATTGTGACCACTTTGAATAAATCTCCATTTTTCAGTTTTTCACTATTAAAAAAAATCCAAAGGTGGTAGTAAAATACATGTTAATTAGAATAAGTTTCATCGTAATTCAGACCAAATTTGATCATGGACAATTTCAGATAAATCTGACTAGTGTAAAGATTCTCATCCTATGTATCTGACTGGTATAAACATTCTCAATCTGTGTATCTGACTAGTGTAAAGATCCCCATCCTGTGCATCTGACTAGTGTAAATATCCTTCATCCTGTGCTTCTGACTAGTGTAAAGATCCTCATCCTACACTTGAGCAGACATTCACAGGGGGCTTCTCTCTGCTCTCTCCCATTTCCACCGTAAAACAAGACCAACAGTCAGATTCCTTCCTTTATAAACCACCCAGTAGCAACAACACTTCCTCTTTATTTCTTCTTAAAATTATGCTAGACCTCCAACCAATGGACTTGTGAAGACTAAGCCATCACTTGTGATATTTTATCTGTGCACCCCAATAAAGCTCATCTGGGAATCAGAGGAAAAGCCAGACACTATATTAAACATGGAGTTCAGGCAGTGGTAGCACATGCCTTTAATCCTAGCATTTGGGAGGCAGACATCTTTCCCGATCTCTGTGAGTTCAAGGCCACACTGGGCACAGAGTCAGGCATGGTGGCACATGCCTTTAATCCCAGCACTAGTTAACCATAGAGGTCTGTAGGTCTGTACAGACAGACAGGAAGTGATGGAGCTGGGCAGAAAGAGAAAGTGATGTAGCTGGGCAGAGAGAGGCAGTGAGATGGCAGGGCACAGAAAGGATATAGGCTTAATTATGCAGGAAGCAGCTCTCTCTGGAAGCTGAGGAGTTGGTAAAGTGAGGTTGGCTGTGGCTTGTTCTATTCCTCTGATTTCTCAGTTTTCACCCCAATATCTAGCTCTGGGTTTTTTATTAATAAGACCGTTTAGCAATTCATCTTACAACCACTCCTCCACTGAGTTACTCTCCTAGCCCAATTTTTAAGTACTTTTAGGAGAGGAGATTGGTCTTCCTCCCTCTTCCCTCCCACTCCTTCCTTCCTTCTTCCCTCCCACCTTCCCTCCCTTCCTTCTTTCTTTTAAGATAACTCCTAACCAGTGGTGGCAGACACCTGTAATCTCAGCATTTGAGAGACTGAGGCAGGAGGATCATGAATTCACGGCTAAATTTAGCTACATAGCATGATCAAGGATAGCCTGAGCTATCTAAGACCCTATCTCAAAAACAAAACAAACAACAAAATCCAGAAAGAAAGGAAGGAAGGGAGGGAGGGAGGAAAGAAGGGAGGGAGGGAGGGAGGAAGGGAGGGAGGGAGGGAGAAGAAGGAAGGAAGAATCAGCACAATTGCTCCCTGCCCCCCTTCTTCTCTTCCTTCTTTCTCTAGCCCGTCTTTTGCTATTAGGTGACAGATGGAACGCTGACCTGTGTCTTCGTCTCTAACATAGAGTTGCAGCAGCAGACCAAGGTCTGTCTTTTTCTTTTTCTCCTGCCTGTGCTCGGTCATCTCTAGGCCTCGTTGCTTTTATTTTCCTTGCCATTTATTTGCTGAAGAAAGTAGGCTCTTTGTGTCACAGAACTGTGAACACTGGCTGTGCCCCTTTCTTATCTGCAGCTCTGCTCGGATGATAGCTCACGTGTAGAGTTATCACCGTGAACACCTCTCCTCCCAGCCTGGCAGCATCCACGTCTGATGTCCCATCACACTGAGGAAGACCAGGTCCCTAACTGTTCTGAGGCAACAGTAACAAGGAGAGCTCGACCCTCTTGCTGTCTAGTCTAGTCCAGTCTGTTCACTTAAAACAAACCCAACAGGACACTGCCTGCCACCCTAGTATCAGTGACCATAAACTATGTGACTGTGTGCTAGCCCCCTGTGTGTCTGTGGACAATGTGACCGTGTGCTAGCTCCCTGTGTGTCTGTGGACAGTGTGACCGTGTGCTAGCCCCCTTTGTGTCTGTGGACAGTGTGACCGTGTGCTAGCCCCCTGTGTGTCTGTGGACAGTGTGACCGTGTGCTAGCCCCTTTGTGTCTGTGGACAGTGTGACCGTGTGCTAGCCCCCTGTGTGTCTGTGGACAGTGTGACCGTGTGCTAGCCCCTTTGTGTCTGTGGACAGTGTGACCGTGTGCTAGCCCCCTGTGTGTCTGTGGACAGTGTGACCGTGTGCTAGCCCCCTGTGTGTCTGTGGACAGTGTGACCGTGTGCTAGCCCCCTTTGTGTCCGTGGACAAGTGGAGCTAGTGGAAAGAACATGAACCTAGGAGCCAGCTGGCTTCTGATTTGAATTCCAACCTTAATTCTGCTAAATACACACCTTTTCTCCAAGTCTGTGTCTGACTCCCTACAGAGGAGGACCAGGTCTCTCTCACCAGGCTGCTGAAATGCACCTGCCATGCAGTGTGAATTCAACAATTGTTCCTTTCTTTTCCTGCTTCTGTTAAAAATGGGAATTGTAAACAACAACAACAACAAACCCTCTCATATCCACAGCTTGTTTAAATCCGTACACAAACATGACATTTACCGGTTTCATAAACAGTGGTGAAGGTTTTCAAACATGCTCAAGAAGGCACTCTGAGAAAGGGGAAGGTATGAGGGCAGGAAATACCATGCTCTTCCCCACCTTGTAGTCAGAAAGTTCAAACAACTCCTCCCAAAGCCAGCATGATCTGTTTCTGCCCGGAAACATGCTGCGCTCTGGACTCTGCTGACTTGAGGAGGCATTTCTTCTAGCAGAAGATGAGTTCACTGTAAATGACTCGGAAACATATGGATGAAATTTCCCTAAAGCCACTCCAGGGATTAGGAATTAGGAAAAGAGTGCTTGGCAAAATGCATTTGGGGTTTTGCCAGGGTCGAAACCAACTGAGAAATAGTTAGGACACAAGGCGGTCTCCAGTACTGCCAAGTTTATCCATCTTTGCAATACGGGGATTTATAATTAGAGTCACTCTGAAAAGCATGGCCTCACAAGTAGCCGAGTACAAAATAAGCCTTTGTTTTCAACATCTCAGAGAGGTTGCTGGTCTCCAGATGGATGTTACAGTCCCTCAGCCGTCAGCATCCTGAAAGCCACAGTGTTGCACATCTACACCAAGTGCCTGGTGTCCTCTAGGGCCTGTTCCAGTGAGGAGTCACTCTGAATTCCCGGATGAGGGGAACAAATCTTGATGGGTGTTCTCTAATTACCATGGAGAACTGTGTGATTCGGCAGTTTCCGGCTGCATAAGCTTCCTGTCCAGTTAGCTGTGTCATCTTCCACAACAGTCTGCCTTCTATGAGCTTCTTTGTTAAAATCAGCCCAGTGGAAGGGGGTATGTGTGAGAATACAGCGAGAGAGGAGCACTTGAAAATGTTGGAGGCGCCAGCACAAGATTTCAAGAATCGAGGGCTGTAGGACTGAGCAGTTTCAAAACCTCGAGTCTGGATGAAATCTCAAAATCCTTCAACTCGACGGCACCTGACCTGTCTGCTGACCTTCTGACTTCTTGCTCACTCACTAAACCAAGTTTCCCCACAGCTGTGCACCAGTTTTTCTCCAGCAGTCACCAGCCCAGCTCCTATCACACGGCAGTGGACAGATGTAGCCCCTGCCCACACATGGTAGGAAAGATCGGCATGAAAGGCATGGATATGTAAATCCAAATCATGACACAAATACCACAAAAGGCAGGATCAGGCTGAAGGTTGGCCAGACGGAGTTGGAGTCACTGCAGTGATTTCTGACCCAGAACTTCTCCCCTCCAGCCTGGCTACCCCTGGCTACTCTAAGGAACTAAGTCATTGGAGGCCTCCCTTAAAAATACCTATTTACCTGAAAGGAGGTCAGAACCCTAGAGCATCAGCTAGCTGATGAGTTTATCTAGCTGTGTCCTCAGAATGCAGAGGATGGCTGGAGATGGACTCTATTGACTATATAAGTGTGGGGAGGTTGCTTGATGGCCTGAGGAGTGTTGCCAGGAACACCCAGAAGAGCAAGTGAAGTGAAGGCCAGGCCACTGACTCTCTCCACTCGCGTCACTTCCACATGTTCAGTTGCTTTTCGTTCCTTTTCCCTGTCTTGACCAGTGGAACATGCTATTCACAGTAAGTGTTAGCTCACGGCTAAACACTCATGCTGTGACTACTGAATCTTTCTCTTTCCATCCATTTTGTGAAGAGAAAATGAGTGAAAACAAAACATCACCAAGATGTTTCCATGGTTGCAATTGTGGAAGTGATATTAGCCCAGGGTGTACCTTGGAGAGAGGGAGGCTGTCCTATCTATTTAAAGAGTTAAGACTCTTGTGGGGCACTAGATGGCAACATTTCCCTAAATCTAAACACAGCAAGGCAAGGCCCGGCGGGCAGGTCAACCCCACAGAGCTGCAAGTCCCAGCACATACAATGTGACACCCAAGGTCAAGGAGGGAAGACTGGAGCCAGAGCTGACGCAGGCAGAGCCTAACATAGCTCATCACTGGAGTCCTGTTAATTGTCGGTCATTAACACTGTCACACCACCATCATCACACTAACACCATCATTATGAATACCATCACTACTACCAACATCACCACCATTATTATCACCACTGCTGCCATGATCACCATTATCACTACCACCATCACTACGACCACATTACTACCATGACCAAACCTGTCACCGTCACCACCATCACCATTATTATTTCCACCACTACTGCTATTACATTAGCACAACTACTATCACTGTCTATTATTACTACTATCACAGGCTCCCCAACATGGCTATTATCACCACCACTACCAACACCGCCCACCCCACGATTATCATCATTACCGTTACTACTACTCAGTCTCTCATGCTCTATTGGTTTTTGTTTTTTGTTTTGTTTTGTTTTGTTTTATATACTTAAAATGGAGGGACTGGAAAGATGGCTCAGTGGTTAAGAGTACACACTGTTCTTGCAGAAGACCCAAGTTCAATTCCCAGCACCCATATCAGGGAGCTCCCAACTGCCTGGAACTTTAGCTATAGGTGATCTGATACCCCTGTGACTTCCTCCTTCTCCTACACACACACACACACACACACACAAGCACACACAAGCACACACACACAAGCACACACACTCACATAAATAAGTAACAATTAAAATTAAAAAGAAAATGGTTTTAAAATATAAAGGAAACTTCATTTAGACTGGGAAGGGAGATCTGGTTAGAGACAAAAGATAAAAATGTCTTTTAAATTTTTTCTTTTTCCAATTATATGTCACAGTTAGATTGATAAACTGCTGTCTGGTGTAGAAATTTGGGGAACTGCTTTAATGAATAGATAACAATGGTTTCTATTTGCATTTTTTGTTAGATGCTTAGTTGCTACTTCAGCAATTGTCCAGGTAGGCATGCTATTGTTATGATGAGACACCATGACCAAAAGCAAGTTGAGGAAGAAAGGGTTTATCTGGCTCACACTTCCACATTGTAGCCCATCACTGAAGGGAGTCAGGGCAGGAACTCAAGCAGGGCAGGAACCTGGAGGCAGGAGCTGATGCAGAAACCGTGGAGGAATGCTGCTTACTGGCTTTTTTCTTTTTATTTTTATTTGAATTAATTTATTTTTATGTGCATTGGTGTTTTGCCATGTGTGTTGGATCCCCTGGAACTGGAATTACAGACAGTTGTGAGCTGACATGTGGGTGGTGAGAATTGAACCCCGGTCCTTTGGAAGAGCAGTCAGTGTTCTTAACCACTGAGCCATCTCTCCAGCTCCTTTGCCTTTTTTCTTGTGTCTTGCTCAGCCTCCTTTCTTGCAGAACTCAGGACCACCAGTCCAGGGGTGACACCACCCACAATGGTTGACCCTCCCACGTCAATCACTAATTAAGAAAATGCCATACAGGATTGCCTACGGCCAGATCTAATGGAGGCATTTTCTCAGCTGAGGCTCCCTCGTCTCAGATGATGACTATAGTTTGTGTCAAGCTGACGTTAGACGAGCCAACAGGACAATATTTGAAAACAGTGTTCTGTGTGGACTGAAATGCCCCTCTGGAACTGTGGTTGCGATATCAATGTAGTTAGCACACTCTCTGCTCAGCAGCCACCCCCACTTCCCAGTCCCCGTCCCTTCAATTGGTCAGCTGTCATCGCTGTATTTCGGCATTCCTGAGAAAGTACACCAACTGACCCCTGGAGCAGAGTGGAAGAACTCTTGACATAGAGAAATATTTGCTAACCTTCCCATTGAATTGGGTTGATCAAGTGAACTGTTCCTTGTGGACCAGAAGCTGAACTTCAGTGAAAGAACACAATCAAGGTGTCTGTGACGAAAGGGAAGAAGGCGCCAAGGGTGGTCGTGGGCGGAAGCTGGCCGCTGGCCGCCTGACTACCTTTTTGTACTTTAAAACTGTGTCACCCCAGCGACCACTTGACAAAAGTAGATTTTTTTCAACCATAATTCCCGTCATGTATCCAACCAAACAAGTTAATTTCTAACATTTCTCTGCATAGCTTCGGTCTCCAGGGATACAACAGTAAATAAGACATCCGTCCAAATGATGCTTACACACTGGTGAAGAAGAAAAGTGGATGAAGGATTAGTTAAGTATGATTCAGGCTTGATAAGGGCCAGTACAAAAGTGAAGCAGGATCAGAAACAGTGAGAGGTAATGCTGAGTGTGTGTTTGGTGTGTATTTGTGCGCATGCATGTGTACGTGCGTGTCTACGTACGTTTCCTCTCACTGGCTTATTCAAATTCACCAATAGAGGCTACTTGAAAGAGATTTGAACACAGAGAGCTAACTAAAAAGAGATGGTGAATCATGTAGTGTCCCTGAGCTAAGACTAAAGCACATATCACCATGACTGTGGACTGACCAACCTGATGATCAGAACCCAGACTTCGTGCAGCCGAGCACCTACTGTCCTACTGAGCTACACGCTCCATCGACTTGGTTTCTTTCTAGGTGACCATAGTTACACCAAGAGGATCGAAAGAACAAAGTGTTATGGTCTGAACGGACGTGCCCTTCCAAAATTCATGTGTTGAAATTTGAACCTCAAGGTGGCGTTAAGATGCGGGACCTTTGTGGAAGTGTTTATAAAGGGACTGTACCTGCATGACCAGAGTTAACGCCGGACAAAGGAGGCTTCGGAAAGCTGCTGCACCTTCCATCCCTTCTGCCGTGCTGAATCAGAAAGAAAGGCCACACTCTCAAAAGCAGAGTGACCTCACTAGACACTGGATCTGCCGTGGCCTGGATCTTAGGGTGCCCAGACAGTTAAGTTCTCAGCAGGTGCTGAGGCAGAATTTCCAGTTTTTTTTTTTTTTTTTAAGTTTATCAAACCCTGTGATTGGAAGGGGAAAGAAACATTATCAGAAACAAATGCAAATGGCATGATGGCAGTTAATATGCATGGACAGCTGGTTCTGCTAAAAACTAGCTAAAAATAATTGCTACCCCATAGCCCCATAGAGATATCTGCAGACTTCTCTTATGCTTACTATATGTGTTTTCTCTTGCTAGTATACCCAAAGCGTTATGTGGCTACTAATTTATTTTCTCATTGACAGAGCTTTAAAATACATAAATTGAAGGTTATTATTAATGGTAAATAACTGCAAAATTTGAATCTGCTTTTGCTAGAATAACTTAAGTCCAATGAAATTTAAGGCAAACTTAAGAGAAAGCGACGTATCAACACTGGGCTGAGGAAAGTGAACAGTACCGCCAAGCTGACCAAAGTGAACAGTACCGCCAAGCTGACCAAAGTGAACAGTACCGCCAAGCTGACCAAAGTCTCAGTGATTGAGGCAACGCTGAGTGAACTTTGCCCTTTGGTTGTTTTGCACAGGCACATATGCGTGACTCTTTATCCTTCACCTGGCTCAGTCACTGGATAAAGGCAATAGGTAAGTGGTTCCCTGCAGAAAATACAGTGAGTGAAGCCCTGCCTTTGCCTGGAGTCCATTGTCTTGGGAGATCACAAAGGACCTGTGGTGGGGGGTGGGGGTTGGAGGGGTTGGGGGTGTGTGCAGTATGAAGAGGGTAAATGAGACTGTAGCTGTGGGAGGCCAAGTCCCTTCTCAGATGCAGATGGGGAAGCTCTGAACGGCATCACACCCTGGTATATTCACTGATGGTACAGAATCTTCTGAAAATTCTTACGTGTGTGGAACATATAGGTATATACATGCATGCCACACATAGGTGATTAAGCCAATTCAAGAGCTATTGATAAAGCTATGTCATTACAATGTGATATTGAAGTGATCATACAATGTTCCTTCTCTGAATCAGCTCTAAGAAATGTCTCCTTGGGCTGCAGTCTGTAAACTGTTTGCATGAGGACCTGAATTCAACCTCCAGAGCCCATACAAGAAAAGCCTTCTTGGTGAGCTTCAGGCTAGAGAGAGACTGTCTCACAACATAGAAAAGAAAAAAGAAAAAGAAAAAAGAAAAAGAAAAAAGAAAGAAAAGAAAAAGCTAGCACCAACAGCAACAAAAAAAACTAACTAAATAAAGTCAGGTGGCAACTTCACCAATCTGGGCATCGCCTCGCGGCTAGGAGGCCCAGAATCTCCTCATAGACCACATACTGTAGAAGGAATCCAGTTAGCTCATGACTGAACATACTCTACAGTGGCCCCTCCAAAGCAGCTCTGTTCCAGCTAACAGCTAGACTACAGTATGAAGCAGTGGGGATCTGAGCCATGACAGCAAGGCTGTCTGTTCTCAGTGTTTCCTTCCACACTTGTTTGCATCACTTGGAATTTCCCAGGGATATGGGTTTGTGTCAACAGACCTCTCAGCAGCGCATTCTTCAGCAGGCATGATAACGAATTCAATAACCCTGCTGAGGCTGCCAACCACTGCCCAGGGTAGAGAGACAGGGCAGCTTCGCCCAGGCCTGGTGAGGCACCTATGTTTCCAGAGTCTTTCCCTCTGCCTGCCCTTCCCAGGGCAGGGCCTTTATTTCCAGTCAGAAGGAAGGCAGAGAGAACCCACCACAGGCAGAGGTTATGGCCGGGTGGACCACTTGAAAAACGCATGCAGAAGAAAGGCCACTACTCTTCCTAAGGCCCCTTGTAGGGAATGCGGCAGGGTAGGAAGTCCCAAGTAAAAAGCTAGACTTCCTGCTTCCTCACTCTTCTCCAGTCAAGTTCATGTGCTTAGAGAACTCACGAACCTCAGTGAATAATGACAGTATGTGAGCTTGAATACCCTCCTGAGAGCCTGCCAGGGAAGTATCCAGAGCTGAAGCACAGAATACAAATGTCCTCTAACCACCTGGCAAGAATTCTTCAGACCAACAGTCCCTCCCTGGCCATGTTCTGGCCTGAACCCCAAGTCTGGATACCAATACTGCTTCCACATCGCTAGACTCTTCTACGCCTCACATACCCCTGATTGCCTGGGTGCTCAGCCGGTCATCTGTCATTTCCAGCCAGCTTACATTCCAAAGGCGCTGAGCTCTGCCCACTCCATTTCCATCCCACACTCTCCCTCCTGTCTCGCCTGGCCCCTTTTTACTGCTCACCCAACACAGGCCTCCACCACAGACCCTCACTCCCACACGTCCTGTGTGAGTTCTGAAGGGCAGGAAAGCAAGCTGAAATGGAACCCCTCACTTGGGCCCAGTGAGGAAGAGGGTGATTTTACAAGGAGTGTGCAGCCCCAGCTTCTGGACCAAGCTCCTCTGTCAGGTGGGTCAGGAAAACAGCCCGAGGCTGTGCTTGATTTTCACAGGCGACACCAGGCTGGCCCAGAGGGCACCTTGTGTGTTGATGGCTTCCGGACCCCACACTCTTATAGGGACATTGGTGGCTGTGCTCAGCTGAAGAGCTGCACAGCAGGGTGATGTATGGTTCCTTGCTTTGGCCTTTCTACTGATCAAAGGCAAGAGAACCAGAAAGTGGCCAGTGCACCAAGGGTGACTATCTCAGTGATATTTAGGGTCATAATGTCACCCAGAACTGGCTTGAGCCAATCCCTCTAAGAAAGATGGGGCAGCACTCTCGATGCTCCCCAACCTGTCTTCACTCAAAGATCCTGGGATGCCACAGAGCAGAGGAAGAGGGAAGGGGTCTGCAGAGGCTCATAGATTTGGGTAGTCCAGAGCTCCCAGGCTACTGCTCCTGGTGCCTCCCGGTGTCTTTCTGTGGAGTGATGCCAGGCTCCACCCTTACCAGTGAGCTCTCCACATAGGCAAAGGCCCCCGGCTCTGAACAGCCATCTCCCTCTGAGTCATCCCTGGAAGGCTGTATCGGCACCTTTGCCGTCCTTTCCTGAGGGCTCATTGGGCACTGAGGCTCTTTTCTCTCCTTAAACAAACCATTTGTTCATTCTGCCCCCTTCACGTCATGGTGGGTGGTTTACTAGCAAATGCTGAGTGGTCCATTGAACGTATAACACAAGTCAACACCCTGATTTTGAGATCCACGAGTGCCTGCACCCCATACATAGCCCGCAACTCCTTCCTCAGGACTGGATCCCTCCGACCACTGGAGCAAGACCAGCACAGGTCTGGTTCGGAGGGCCCTTCGAGCTGTGCTTCTTTCCCTCCACACCACTGTGAGCCAGAAGGGCTTGCAGCCTCATATAGCAGAGTCTCTGGCATGGCCAGACTGAGAAGTCAGGCTGCTTGCACCTGACCCCCTGGCACTGCCAGTTCCCGGACTAGTCATGTTGGGCAAGTTCCTCTGCAACTTTGTGCCTCAGTTTCCCCATCAGCCAAATGGAGACTAATAGATAAAATTACTACAACTACCTCATAGCGTCATTGTGGGGAATTAAACAGCCAGTCATATTAAGCGTGGAGTACAATGTCTGGCACCTGGAAAGCATGGAGTAGATGCTATCAGTGTGTACTTGGTTTTCATAGCATGGGGAGATACGTAAGGCGTGAGTCTAATTCACAGCTTATTTATAGTGAATCCTCAGTTACTTCCAAAGAATATTTAGAGTGAATGAACAAAGAGACAAGCTGGGAAAGCTATCAGCTGGCCTTGTTTGTAGTTATTTTAAAATTTTATGTATATAAATGACTTTATATATATATATATATATATATAGTGACTCTGTTCAGAACCCCTGTCACACAGAGAACATGCACAAAGGATTAACTTTGGTCCCCTGATCAGTTCTTCAATGGAGAAGCACTATTTTTTTTTCACGTTTTGTTCAGATGTAGAGCTGTTAAGTAATCTGCCCGGAGTCAAAAAGCAAGTGCTTGGAGGAGCAGGGTCAAGGGCAGGCCTAACACCAAGGCACATGCCTGCTGCTCTGCCTGTGCCGTCCTGGACCACTCCGCTCCTGCAGAGAACAACGAGAGTAACAGAAACCTGGCTCTCACATCTGGACAGGAAGGCTAGGCTCTTTGCTGGCGACCACGGTGATGTCAACTAACCACTTATCAAGCCATTTAAGCATGTGGGGTTTGTATCAATTTTTAACAAGCAGCAGAGACTGTAAACAACGAGCTGAGCTTAATTCAAACCCTAAGTGATGGTGTTTGACAAAGGAATGTAAATACTGCGCTGATTCACGGCTTGTGATTGGCAGCTCATCTGTTAGTGTCTCACTGCCACGGGCTCCATCTGGGCGGCTGGGTGGCTGCACAGCGCGGGCCAGCATTCCACCGATTCTTTCACCTGCTCAACACTGCCGACACTGAAACGGGGCTACACACACACACACACACACACACACACACACACACACACACACACACACGCAAGACGTGTGTGAGCCCTGTCTCCACGGCGTTCAGTCCGGGCACTGAAAACAAGGACTCCACACAGAAAAAATGTGTGGTACGAACCAGAAGCGAAGGGAAGAAGGATGTGTGGGGGTGCTCAGGAACAGGAAGTCAAGGAAGGCCTGTTTGAGGAAGGCAAAATGAAAAGGAGCTAGCCCAAGGAAGTGTGCATGGGAGGGGAGGAAGGAGAAGGCCCAGACAGAGGGACAGTGGTAAGTCACAGGCCTGGGCTAGGAAGACCTTAGAGTTCTTAAAGAGATACAGGTCATATCTCTTCAAGGGGCAAGAGGTAGTGTCTGTTTTTGGGAGAAAAATGTAACACTTGACAAGTGATAAACAGAGGGAAAACCTACAGATAAGAACTGAGAAGTCATCCCAAGGATGTGGAGGAATAGGAGCCCTCACACACTGTAACAGCAAATAAGATGTGCTTGTTGGCACTGACAGCGTAACAGGGCAACTGTGCTCTCTTAGCAGGCATGGGTTCTCCACACATACCATCCCCACACCCACCATACACATGTGCCCTCAGCCACTTTAATGTCTTCCACAGACTCATGTGTTTGATTCTTCTCTAACTGATGGCATTGTTTTGGGAGGCTGAGAATCTTTTGGACTTGGGGTCTACCTAGCAGGTATAGGACTGAGAAGGTAGATCTTGAGGGTTTATGAGCCAACTCTGCTTCCAACCTCAGCTCGCTACTTCCCTGTCGCTGTTGAGATGTGAGGATATCATTCTGCAAAGTCCTGTTCTAGACCAAGAGAGTCCCAGCCATCAAGCCATCCCCCATGAACTATGAGCCCACATAAATTCTCCCTCCTTTAAGCTGTCCCTGTCAGGGTGATAAGAAAAGTAACCCATGCAGCTTCTTCCATGGCTAAACTGCGTCTCCCCAAAAGGTACATTGAAATCCTAACCCCTCTGTACCTCACTTTAGACTATGATTACAATAGTTGAGGCTTCAGAGAAATAGAAATAACAGAAGATTGAGTGTACAAACAGACAGATATGTAGCTAGATAGATATAAAGGGAGAGATATAAAGATATAAATATAGAGGTAGGTGGATTGGTAGATAGATGACAGAAAGATACAGAAGATAGAGATGGGCAAACAGATGGATATACAGAAATAGATATATAGGGAGACAGTTGGATGCATGGGAGGAAGAAAGATGAATACATGGATAAATGGATACATTGATACATGGAGATACATCATGGAGATACATCATGGAGATACATCATGGAGATACATAGAGATACACAGAGAGATAATTCTAAGAAGCCAGTCAGTGGCTTTGAAATCTGTGTGATGGGTAGGAGGCTGGAAATCAGGGGAGAGCCATTGTTGCAGCTCACATTCAAAGACATTCTCTGGCACAACTCTTTCTTATTCAAGGAAGAATTATAGTGAGGACTTTAAATGCAGTATCTAGAGGGCCCACAGGAACACAAAGGGTTGTTGAAACTCAAATACTTGAGTTAAAATTTACTTTGTAATGTGGCCACCCACCATACAAGCATATATACATGAACAAAGACTCTCATATTAAATTATATTATGCTTCTGAAAGGATGGGTAACATATTTTTTTGTGAGCAGAAGGTATTTAATCCACAAAAGGAGGATTCTAGGTTTTGTGTTACATTTTTATTAAGTTAGTGATTTGACAATTCCGCGTGTGTGTGTGTGTGTGTGTGTGTGTGTGTGTGTGTGTGTGTGTGTGTGATGCATTCTGATCTCTCTATTTCCACCCTTCCCTGTCTCCTTCCCACCCTATCAAAACTCTCTCCTTTCCACCTGACCCTTTCAAAGGTTTAGGACTTGAAGCCTTGTTTTGTGACCCTTTAATTTAATGAGTGTGACCACTGGATTGAGACTTGTTTATTGGAGGCCGATGGGGGTCACCAATAGATACAGTATAGAACTGAAGGCAATGGCGTCCATACTTCCTCTGACTCTATCCCTAGAAATAGTTCAGCAGTGAGGGACACAGCCCCTATGTCCCTTCTCCATCCTTTCCTACATGCCGAGGGGCCCATTCTTGGCAGGTGTCTGTAGTTACTGAGAGATTGCCACGTCTGTGTATTGTTCTGAAGACGGCGTCTCTCAGCCTTTCTCCCTGTGCTCTGACTTTTACACTCTTTCTGCCTTCTCTTCTGCAGTGTCTCCTGGGCATCACAGGGCTCAACTGTCACTCATTTTCAGTGCCTTGTAAGTCTGCCTCCATCTTATAAACCACATCGACTCTTACAAAGGGAAGCACTTACAATTCGGAGGTGCCCGATCCACTGTCATCACGTGGGAAGCATGGAGGCATGCAGGCAGACACGGTGCTGGAGGAGTAGTTTGAGAAGTTCCTTATATCCAGACCCACAGGCAGCAAGAGGAGAGAGACCCTGGGCTGTTGTGGGAATTCGCTCCACCAAAGACCTTGGGGTATCTGGCTCAAAAACGGGAATAGATAGGATAGGATAATAAGGTAAATTATTGTATCTACTTGTAAACTAATTTAGCAACTATCAGCTTTAGATAGTTTGTATCGATATGGATTCTTGTATATTGATACAGACATAAAATTATTTTTTTATTCCTGTTTAAGATAATTTGTATATTGACACAAATACAAAACTATATTTATCATATTGTACATATGTTCCTACTGTTGTTTAAAATATTTTTGTATATTGATACAAATCTAAAATTGTATATGTCATACTGTATGTATGTTCTACTTCTGTTTAGGATATTTTGTATATGCATACAAATTAAGGTATTGTCATATTGCACTATACATTTCTACCTCTGATTAAGGTATTTTTGTATATTGTCACAAATTCAGGGTCATTGTCCTTATATTGTACATCTGTACAGACTGTTTATTTTTATAATGTGAAGCCTTAGATTTTAAGTTACTTAGGTTTATAAGAGTTACAGGTTAATAGTCCTATGCTTGTCATACTTATAGCCATGTTAGTTAGGTTTTCTAGACAGACAGAGATATATGTCAGATAGATAGGTAATCTTCAAACACTTCATAGACCTAGAGAATACAGCATTGAAATGTTTTAATAACTTAGAATCTTGTTGACATGAGACATGATTGCTCCTGGCAGCACCAATTCACTCTCGAGAGGACGTTGGGCATCGAAGACACTCCATATGGAATTTGTCTTCTACATGGCAAAAGTGGCCTGTTGGGCAAAGAACTGCCCTTGCCTCAACTGCTGACAGTAAGCACGCTGTCCAGTCCGAATGAGCAGGACACAAGAAATAGTGCCTGCTGAACCTGAAAATGGTCTGTCAGATATTCTAGACCTGTAGCCAGAAGTGGGTGCCCCAACATTGCAGAGCAACATGCAGTGACTGTGCAGCAGCCCGCTGTTTCTGTCACACCTTGCGTGTTTCAGAGGTCGCTTGTTTGCACTTCCTGCTCACTCAGGTAATATCATTTCCCTTCTCAGGTCTTTGAGAGAGTTGAAGACTAGATAGTTACAGTTACAATCCTCTTGTATTTTAACCAAGAGCATTTCAGGTACAAGATTTAGATTCTTCAGGATAGGACAGCTATTGGAGTAATCTCCGTAATTTGCCATTTACCTCTGGCCTGGACATTTAGTATATGTTTTTTGCTCAATGTTTTTCTTGCTGATTGTAGTTCCAGTTTTTACGTTGTTACCTTTTCTGTCTTCTAGACAATACTTGATAATTATTCTCATTATATATAGCTTTGTATTAGGTTCAGAACCTTCTTATTTAGACAAAAAGGGGAGTGTTGTGAGAATTCACTCCGCCAAGGACCTTGGGGTATCTGCTTGATGGAGGCGTGGTTTTTTTCTGGGTGACTGCTTAAAACTGAGGAGAGAGAGCACAGGCTTGCTCTCCTGGTGTGATCAGAGACCAGATGGCTAGTTCCACACACACACACACACACACACACACACACACACACACACGGGCAAAACGGAAGGACTCTGCAGCTGGATCTGCATTTTCCTGTATCCTGTGTCTGTGAATTTGTTTTCTCATAGCATCTTGAATGCTCTCTCTAACCCAGCTTAGGAGGCAGTTGTCAACCAGCTCTCTCATGTACTTGAATAAAATAAAGCTTGCTTCAACTCTGGCTCAAAAGTGTGGTAGTGGTCTTATTCTTGCCCATTACACAAGGTAATAATTAAAAAAAAAAGCATGCAATGCAAGAAGCAAAAACATGCAAAGAAACCTGTAAAAAAATCTTAAATACAAGCACTGAGACATTGGTGGTTAAAACATCTTCGGCTGGTGAGACGGTTCTGAAGATAAAGGGACTTGCTACAGTTCTGGTAACCTGCGTTCAACTCCTGGGTTCCATATTTTGGAGAGAAAACTGACTCCAATAAATTGACCTCTCACCTCCACTTGTGTGCTATGGCATGTGTATTCATGTACACACACACACACACACACACACACACACACACACACACACACATACAAAATTAAAAACAACTACAACAAAAAAGTGTCTTCTTGTGTGTTGAAAACAAACAAGTAGTTAATTCTAAATAACAGAAAGCAGAAAATGGAAGAGAAACATTCAGATGGACACTGAAGATTGACTAAGGTCTTTATTTGTAAAGGAAGAAAACACTTAAAAAAGAGTCTAAATAGAGGGTTGTGAATGTCAAAAGGCCCATAGCCGGCCATCAGCTTCTCTTTAATGTTGTTTCATGAGGTCAGATAAGAAAAACATAGCTCAAGGCAAAGGAAGGGGTGGGAGGGGGCGGCACCAACTACCTCATCCTGAATAACTCTCCTGGCCAGGAGACAGTGATTGAAATCATGCCTCCAACTAGTCAGTCCAATTCTTTGTGAAAGAAAGAGTTACCATGAGCAAAGTGACTGATTCAACCTCTAGTCACCCACAGGCATGCAAGTGAGTGGCCTAGGTTCCCAGGAGCAAGTTCTGGCCAGCAGTCCCAGCTCTCTTGAGTGACTTGCTCTGGGCAGGGGAGTCTTCCTCTTTTCTTTTAGTTATAAGATAGAATGAGATAAACACAGAGTTTTTTGGTTTGTTTGTTTCTTTTCTTTTCTTTTTTTCTGCTCAATAGCTCTATCCTAAGCTTAACTACTCCCCGGGTAAGAAGAAAAGGTATTGTGAGGACCCCAACTCAGAGCAGGTCAGGAAATGGTGATTCCTGTGATTGGAAGCACACTCTGAGGCGGCTGCTGGCAACACACTTCCTCTGGATCTCACTCTAACCTGAACGACAGTTCCAAAGAAACCAGAGCCTACACTGGGCAGCAAAGCCATGAAGGTACAAGAAAGATGCAGAAAAATTTCATCTCAGAAATAAAGGTCCTTTTAAAGAAACTTACAAAATCTAAGACACAACACAGGAAGTTTGACTGTATCAAAAGTTTGAAAAATTCTACAGCAAAAATCTCTAGAAATAAAGTTAAGGGAAAAAAAATCCAACAGTAACTTGGGAAACATGAATGAAATGTATAAATATTCATAAATGTACATGAATGAAATGCATAAATATTCATAAATACACATGAATGAAATGCATATTCATAAATACACATGAATGAAATGTATACTACCAAGTATAATGTATACTAATTTCCTTAAGAGACCAAGGTTCTAAAAGACAGTAGAAAATACCAATAATCTTGTAGAAGTGACCAGAACATTCACAGAAGTGGAAATACGTGGTTTCTTTTCCCTCAAAGTTTTGCAATAATTTTAGATTCACAGAATAGTTACAAAAAATAGTATGTCAAGACTGATCTTTTTCTTTATATATCTTACCTATTAACTTTAGCTTCATTAACGGTCCTTGAGTGAAAAAGTATTACTGTAGGGGCTGGGAAGATGGCTGTGTCGTTAAGAGCACTTGTTTCTGTAAGTGTTTCACAGCAAAAGGAGACCCTGGCTATTAGGGGCCAAGGAATACCACAAAATCACACTACACAACAGAGCTGACACAAGAGACTTTCTGGGTGGAGGAACGTCCAAGGCTGTAAGCAGTCCACACTCTTTCCAAATGGCAGCGTGGGACAGAAAGATGTGGAAGGCATATTTGGAGTCTGTGTAGACATTTAGGGGTTGTCCTGGTTGTTATTATTCTTAGCCACTTCTGGAGCCACATGACCGTGTATGTACTGTCAGCAGTCAGGTAAAATGCTTAGTCACTCCAGGGCCTTACGTCCCATGTAATCATGTGTGGCATAGCTCTGTAAGCCCATGTTTGTATGTACGAGGTGACTCTCTGCCGGGCGGTGGTGGCGCACGCCTTTAATCCCAGCACTCGGGAGGCAGAGGCAGGTGGATCTCTATGAGTTTGAGGCCAGCCTGGGCTACAGAGTGAGTCCCAGGACAGGTGCCAAAACTACACAGAGAAACCCTGTCTCAACCCTCTATCCCCCCAATAAGCATGCTCTACCTGCTCCCTGCTCTCTCTCCCTCTTGCCAGAGGTAGCACACACGGAGTAATACAGGGAAGGGAAGCCTGGCCCTGGGCTGGAGAGGGTTAGGGTGGGTGAGAAGTGCTGGGATGAGCCACAGGTACGGAGTGAGCATTGTCCCGGGTTTCTCTCGGGCCTGACAACACTAAGCGTATTTGTCTCTGCAAACATTTATCATTTCTTTATGCTAAAAACTTGCAAACTCTTCTCGGTCAGCTGTGTTCTTTTCCAGTTCTGTGAAGAATTGGGATTTTGATGGTGATAGCCTGGAATCTGTAAATCACTTTCAGTACTACATCCATATTTATATTAATTCTGCCAACATTAACTTTGGTACTGCATATCATGTCTAAAGTCTGATTTTAATTCTCTCCATGTTGGGCTGCTTTTGGCTGGGAAAGGGGCAGCATGGGCATCTCCCTTCTGCCCGCTTTCTTCCACTTTTCAGCTTTTTGTTATAATTTACAAGCAGACACTGTGGCCTCTCATCTGATTTCTTAGTCCTACAAAAATCATTTGTCTACTGATAAGCTGCCCAATTTGACATGTCTGGTAGGACAGATGTCAGAGGCTCAACTGCCATCTTACTCCACCTCTGGTTCCTTCTCCTCCTATCCTCCCTCCCTCCCTTCCTTTCTTTTGGTGCTAAAATCAAACCCAGGGCCTCTTATATATTGGAAAGCATGGCTTAATTTCACTTTTGAGAAGCAATGCAAATTTCAATGAAATATTTCTTTACCTAACAGATAGATAAAATATTTGATAATATGGTATCATCAAGGGTCCGGGGCCTCTTCCATGCTTGTAAATGCCATTTGTGGGAATAAATGTTGGAACAAAATCTCTAAGAAATACTCTGATAGTATACATCAAAAAGTTAAATGCACATTTTCTTCTATTCAACAATTTCATTTTTAGGAATTTCATCTGCAAGCATACGCTCATATTTATTACATATATTCAAGCATAGTTATTGCAGTCTCATTTGTAATAGATGAACTGGAAACACAGTAAACTTCTCTCCATAGGGAACTGCATAAATAACACAGGACACTGCTACACAGTTTCTATCCTGTGTTTTCAAAGACGGAAACTTCTGTCCTACTTTTTAAAAAGAACAAGTGTCTCTAATGCACTGAGTGTTCGAACATTTATTCCAACGACACAAAAGCAGCTTGGGAAATGAAGGGTTCACTTAGCTTACTTGTCTGTCATGAAGGAAAGCCAGGCCAGGAACTCAAGCAGGCCAGGAACCCGAAGGTAGGAACTCAAGCAGAGGCCATGGAAGAGCGCTGCTTACTGGTTGGCTCAGCCTGCTTTTTAAACAACCCGGGACCACTGCACAGGGGTGGCACCACCCACAGTGGGCTAAGCCCTCCCACATCCACCATTAATAAAGAGCACCTCCCCACCCCTCACCCCACCCCCTCCCCCACCCCCACGCAGACTTGCCTGGATGCAGTCTGATGTCTGAGGTTTCCTCTCCCCAGACGTCTCAAGCTTGTATCAAGTTCTAAGCTTCCATTTCTACAAGAGTAATGACTATGTAAATGAGCGTGTGTTTATGCTTGAGCTGTCTCTAGGAGGTTCACAAGACTAACAATGGCTGCCTGCAAGGGACAGGCGAAGGCGAGAAAGCTTTCTTTTCGTTATTTATTCTTCTGGACACTTGGAATTTTATATTGTATGCATATATTAGCTAGTAAAAAAAAAAACAATTTACTTCTTAAAAATTATGGTCCCCAGAGATAAGTCGATTGGCAGAGACTCACAAGACAGCCACACTCTCCAGGCCTCTCTGCTGTCCTTCCCCGCCTTGACCGGCCTTCACCTGGCATTCTCCTGCTCACCTGCATCTGGAAGCTTTCTCGACAGTTGTACTTCCAATCTGAATTTGATCCCTTCCCCTACTCAGCCATGCTCTCACAGCCTCAGGCACCCTTGAACACAGTACTTGGCTCACTTGACTGTAATTGTGGGCTTAGGATAAGTTTGTCTCTGGGCTAGGTTTGGGGACCTTGGTGGGACTCTTGTGTCACAACAGGCTTAGATCTGAACGTCCTCCACAGGCTCAGTGAACACTCAGTCTCTGGCTAGTGGTGCTGTTTTGCAGGCTGTGGCATCTTTGTAGCTCGGTTGCAGGGGCGGAGTTTGAAGGTCACCTCTGCTGCTGGTTCTGTGCACTTCCTTTGTTTCCTGGTCTAGGTTGCCCCTGCATGCTCCTGTGGACAGAAGCTGAGACCCTCCACCATGTCTTCCCTGTTACGAAAGACTGAAATCACTCAGAGCAGAACTAAAATAAACCTTCCTTTTTATCTGTTTCTTCCATTTCTTTTGGTCACACGTGATTTAAAAGTAACTAATAACAGACCTGGCACCCAGCTCAGTTGCTCATACACAGTGTGCTATATAGGAGTGATGGCTGCCTGCCTGCATGCATGGATGTATGCATGCACTGACAGGTGGATGGATGGATGGATGGATGCACTGATGGGTGGATGGATGGATGGATGCATGGATGGATGCATGCACTGACAGGTGGATGGATGGATGGATGCATGCATGCATGCATGCACTGATGGGTGGGTGGATGGATGTATTGATGGGTGGGTGGATGGATGCATGCATGTATGCATGCACTGATGGGTGGGTGGATGGATGGATGGATGG